TCTGACAGAGTTTCTGCGGAGTGTCGGAGAATCAACGACGTGATTTTCAGCACCTGGTTCAAAACAGCCCTGCACCACCAAGCGTGATTTAGCCTCTCCTTCCTTTGCTGTGTATACAAACCTGGAAGGAACGGCAGCAGTCCAAGGAGGCAGGCGCACTTTTTTCGAAGTGTTCGGAAACGGCGTGGAATTCTTTCAAACGTGGTGCTTCGAAAGCAGGATCTGCTTCAGCGGTTCGAGAAGGAATCTCTTTCGCACGCTTCGTGGTCATAGCTGCCACGACAGCGTCCAGGACAGACTCGCCTACGACGGCGGCGTCTGCCGGGCAGGAGCGGCACACCTCGTGGACGGCAGCGTAGCCAAAGCACTGTTCAGGCACAGTGAAAACGAATCGTCCACATAATTTCGGGTCGAAGCCAACAGCTCGTCGTCAGAATTTGGAGGCATTGGCGACTTGAGTGCGTCATCAGTGACGTCTTGGGGCGCTTATCGTTTCGTTCCTGTATGCCTGGCCGCTGATGAAGACGACGTTCCTGTCCCTTCTGTGCCTGTTCCTTTTCCTGGTCTTCCTCCTTCTCCTCCTTTGCCTATGCCTGCTCCTCTTGCTCCCGAAGCAGATTTGGTCCTATGCCGGCGCATAGGTCCGTAAGCAGCTTGCGCCGGCCAGAGGACGGCGCGCGCTGCTGTGGGAACGCCGGAAGGAGGCAGCGGCAGCGCGCCCGTAGACGCTGGAACCCCATTTCCCGCGGCCGGGAAACCCAACCGCGCAGGTCATGGAACACCAGCAGGGGCTGGGCGAGCCGCGGCAGCAGGAGAGAGGCACGGAGGTGGAACTTGCGGCGGAGGTGTTGGCGCAGAATCGTCGTCCAGCGGCTCTTCTTTTACGCGAGGTGCTGTTGGAGCGCTGCTTTCTTGCTTTGTTGCAGGTGGTTGTTGTTGCTCCGGTGGTTGGAATTGTGGTCCGGCTTGCACTCGTAGCTTCAAAAGCCATCTGTTTTCCTTCGGTCTAACCCTGTGCCCGTGGAAAGCTATGGCTTTGCCATCGGGAGTTCTAAGCCGCACTTCCTGGTTTCCTTCCATGCCGAGCACTGCGGCAGGTCCTTTCCAAGCGGTTCCGGCTGTTTTTTTGCCTTCGGAGTGTCATCTGCGATGTAACCGACCTCTGTCCCCGAATCGAGGGGGCCAGTTGTGCCCGCAAGACGGGAACTGAAGAGCTCACGAAGCTCGGAACACGCATGGATCTGCACGGCGACTGCCTGAACAGCACGACAGAGAGACAGCCTGGTGCGGGCGTGGGTAGCGACGCCTGTTCTGAGCGCCTGTAGCTGTGGAGGTTAACACTCATCGATCTGGTCGAAGAAGTGGTCGTTGCCAAGGGCGAGAAACTACGCGGAGAAGCCACACCTACGAACAACGCTGTCCTTGGCAGCGCATGCCTGGAGCATGACGTCCGTCGGCGCAAGAGTGCCATTGCCCAATTCGGTTTCGAAGTTTTCGGCGAGCTTGTAAAAGACCATATTCAGCACACCACTGCGGCGCTCTACTAGCCCAGCGGAAGCGGGAGCGCGGGGGGTAATCCAAAAATGCCTCGCGCCGTGATGCATCAAGAATGTTTCGACCTCCATGTTCTGATACTCGCCGCCGTTGTCCGTGAGAACGCTGCGTGGGAGACACCCGTAGACCGACTGCCACCTGGAGAGAGTAGCAAGCGTTCCAGGAGGTTCCCGGGTGGATGTAAACTCCGCGAGCGACCACTTTGAACAATAATCGAACATGTGGTGGCATATGTACTTACCTCCGCATGCGGACACTTCAGAGGAGTCAATGCACACACGGTCGTTTACGTTTCTCGCAGACATGCCAGAAGTCTTTGGGCGTGCGTGTGGTTTACGGAACTTGTCGCAGATCCTGCAACACTTCGTGACTTCCTCGGCAAATTTTCTGACCTGCGGCGCTGTCTCGGGAAGCGACGCTGGAGTGGTGCGTCGCATCAGCTGGTCCGCGGTAGGGTGCGCGAGCTTGTCGCGCATCCGTTTGAAACCCGACTCCGTCTGAAGCTCGGCGAGAAGCTTGTCCAGCCGTGGTGGGAGAGATGCAATGAAGGCCCTCGGGTGTTCTTGAACAGTCGCCGTTTCAAAAGCAGTTGCGTCCCTAAGAGGCGCAAAATCGGAGTCAGGTGCCTCTGTTGCAACTGAGGCAACACTGCTGAGCAACATGACAGGGAAAAAGGTAATGTCCCGCACTCGAAATTTTCACTTTGACGGTAGTTCGTGTAGTTTTCGAATACATGGTGTCTTTTTTTCGAAGTCGATCACGGCTTCTGGGTTCTTGAGCTGCGGCTTGCCCAACAGGAAAGGCGTGGCCTTTGCCTGTTCGGAACCGGTGTTCAGCACTTCGAACTCTGTGGGGGCATCCAGGTGTTGGACAAGTACGGTTGCAACGGCTTCTGCCGTTTTCGGGCCGCCTCCAGCGAACCGGCACTTCGTTTCGACGGTCTTTCGCTCACGCAGAGCTCGGGGTACTCCTGCCGTAGCAAGGCTTCGAAGTTCTAGCAGTTTCTTGCTGACCATGCCCTTGGAGCAACCGGAGTCTGCGATGGCCTCGTGGGCACCGATGTCTGCGTGCATGCTGTCTTCTACCACGGTCGCGGGCAAGGCTGCTGCTGCTGCTGCGCCTTTTTCTCCTTCCACCGTGGCGCCGCTGCCGTCGTCGTAGTCATCGCTGTCGTCGCGGTCTTACTCAGAGTCGTCTTCGTTTTCGTCGTCGTAACTGCCGTTTCCGCGCTGCACAAGGGCAAGGCCCAGGCACCAACGCGGTTCGCAGAGCTTCAAGTCCACTGGGGCGCACGGCTCGCACGCAAAGAACGCTTTGCTGCACTCCGCGTGGTAGATGCACTTGTACTGCGACATCACTTTGCCACAGCAGCTCACGTGAACGACGCGTCGCGGACGACCGTCGCTGTGGGCCGCAACAGGCGGCACTACGGAAGAAATGCAAGCGCCATCCTTTCCACCGGCCGGGAAGCTCCGGCGGTCCAGAGGACGTTGCTGGGCTGCTGTTTTTTCCACTGGCCGGGAAGCTCCAGCGCGGCGGTCCACGCGAGGAGGCAGCCGTGGACGACGACGCTGGGTGGCTGCTGTCTTTTCCACCGGCTGGGACACCCGAGCACGGCGGTCTAGACGCAGAAGCAGCCAGGAACGACCACGCGAGGACTGCGGACGCATCCGGGTCCGGCTGTTGCATGTAGTTCCACTCCGTTGTGGCCCAGTCGGCTCTCGGACCAACCGCCAATCCAGCTTTCCCACTCGTCGGCGGCGAAAGCGAATGTTAATGTTTTTTTTGTTTGGCTCTTCCCTGCGTGGGATTTGCCTTTGCTCTTGTTGCTTTCAGTTTTGCTTGTAGCGGGCTTCGGCTGTCCGCTCGAGTAGCCTTTTGACCAGTTCCCTTTGCTTTTTCCCAAAGTGGTTTTGCCTGTCTCACCCTAGTCAATGCTCTTGCGTTTGCCTCTCGGCGGGTGCGGGCACTTGTCGACCCAGTGGCCTGGGCTGCCGCACCGCAAACAGCTTTTTTGGCCGTAGTTTGCGTCTTCTGTTCAACTAGCTTCCTGCCAGCTTTGCTCGTTCCAGTCTTGGTCAAAGTCCTCAGAAGGCCAGTCTTCTCAGGCTTCGTAGCCTTGGTGTTCCGCCGTTTTGGCCAGGAGGGTTGTCTCCAAGCGCTTTCAGGATCGCACTTGTGGTCTTAGCTAAAGTCAGAGTGCCGTCCAAGTCGAGTCTCGTCGACAAGTTGCTCAGCTGTTGTTGCGGTAGAACGGTTTCACACAAACCTTCCATTACTACGAGCCTGTCCTGGCCTATCTCCTGTAGCAGGCGCAACGACTCGCTCAAGGAGTCTTCTACTTTCTGATGACCGCGTTTCAACTCCAGCCAAGAAGCGAAACGGATAAACTTTGCTACGTCGTCTTTTGTTCTGTTCTCTGTTTGCATGAACTCTATCAGGTAAATCGAACCTAACTTCCCAGTTGCTCCGGTTTCGCCCACGGGGTCGCTACTAAGACGGCTCATGTCTAACAATTTTGCGTGGTTTTGTTAACGTGTTGTTCACAGAGAAACCTCCGGACTTCTCAGCTCAGTGCTCACATGCCATGCTTGCAGGTCTTCTCCGTAGCTTTCCCAGCTTTGCGATGGACCGGCAAGTGGGCAGGCTCTTACACCAGATCCCTTGAAGATGGCAGATGTCATGGCCGATGGCGATTGCCCGATCAGGGATCCCCGCGCGCGCTAATGCCCGTGGAGCCGTAGCTCCGCTACCAATGTCGATCGAAGAGCGGTTCGGATCGCATCGTCTATCGCTCTTTTCCCGGGCGCCCTGGCTCACGGGCCCTAAACGGCAGCGGAGAAGCAGGGATAGATGGGGGACAAGGAGAGACGAGGCGAGAAGGATGAAACCGGAGGTGAGACAGGTAAATGGTGAAAGGGTGGACGGTTGACCCCAGGACCCCAGGAGGCCCCAGAAGGCCCCAGGAAGCCCCAGGAGGTTTCAGGCGGCTCCAGGAAGCTCCAAAAATCTCCAGGAGGCCCCAGGCGCCCGACGAATTGGCGAGCGAAAGCTGTGCGCCGCGCCTTGGCGGAAGCGCCTTTTTCAATACAAATGTGCGCGGCGCTGGAGCGAGAACGACATGTCGCCCTTTCGTGCGAGGTGTGCGCCGCGTCCCATTCCTGCCTCGAACTTCGCGACGCAAGCCACAGGACGTCCATGTTGAGAGGAAACATCGATTTTGTATTGTTTCTTCGCAGGTTAGGGTGGGACCTCCCGAATTGGCCCGCAATCGGCCGGGGAGAGGGCAGAGTGGGAGCATACACACATAAGACATACGGATAGGAGGGGGAGGAAGAGGAGGAGGAGGAGGAGGAGAAGGAGGAGGAGAAGGAGGAGGAGAACGACGACGACGACGACGACGACGACGACGACGACGACGACGACGACGACGACGACGACCCCTCCTGCGCGCGACGAAGAGGTGCGCGCTGGGCGCGGCGCTGTGCTTCCGGACGTCCGCAGCCCCCCCCCTCCAGGGGTGTGGCGGGGCGCGAGCCGCGAGGGTTGGCCTTCTGGGCCGGACGAAGGGCGACCCCAAACCCCCGACAACATGACTGTTTCATGACGTCGAAACCTGAGGTCTGGACCCCTTCCTCTGGACCGGTTTTTCATCTTTTGATGGGCCTGCTTTCCACCACCGCCACCATGAGTTGGATGGGGGGAAGGAGGAGGAGGACGAGGAGGCGAAGGACGAGGAGGACGAGGAGGAGGAGGAGGACGAGGAGGAGGAGGAGGAGGAGGAGGACCCCCTCCCCTCCAACTTATGGTGGTGGTGGAAATCAGGCCCATCATCCTTAGTCGTTTTTTGGCGACGATGCTGGGGGCCCGGCGAGAGCCCCCCAGAGGCCGACAATGGCGAAAAACTGCCCGCCGTGGTTTTTGTTCACGACTCGAGGAGGCACCCCAAAGCCTCGACCACCGATGCTCCTCGAGGGTTCGACGTAACCAAACGTCGCATATCGCGACCCAGGGTGCGCGACGTGCGAGTACCTTCTCAACCTCGCGCCGTCCCCTTTGGAGGGTAACCGCTGTGGCCAAGACCGCGACGCGCGAAGCGCGATGATCGTCGCCCCTTATGAATACTCTACCATGCAAAGAAGCTCCAAGAAAACGCCCAGGGTGCGTCCGGATTCTTGATTTTCTTAAGCGCAGTGCGTTTCCTCAAGATTTCTGATGGGCGCAAGGGATTCCAAGGGGAATCGAGGGTCGAAGCTTTGGGGTTTCTGTTCGCCCTGGCCGAGCGTCCTAGGACGCCTTCGCCGCGGCGGCGTGTCCGGCTGGAACTGCTGGGTGTCGCAATTTTGACTCCTGGGCCCAGACCTCAGGCGTCTTGAAAACAAACAAGCAAACATCTCGATTCCACCATGTTCGGCGCCTGGGGACCGTTTTCGCGATCCAGGGCCATAACAAAACCATCCAGGACGGAAAACTGGTCCCTCGGGAAGATCTGAACGGGAGGCCTGGGCAGCGGGGGAACTGGGCCCTGGAACGACGGGGATCCTGGATGAACTCTTCCTGGCTTGTGGGGCCCTGGCGCCCTCCACAGGCCCCAAGATCGTGAAGCAACCGGCCAAGATGACGAGCTCCTCCTCCTCCTCCTCCTCCGCCTCCTCCGCCTCCTCCTCCTCCTCCTCCTCCTCCTCCTCCTCCTCCTCCTCCTCCTCCTCCTCCCCCTCCTCCGCCTCCTCAGGTTCCTCCCGCCCCTCCTCCTCCCTCCCACCCCCAGGAGCTGGCCCTGGGGAAAGTCCCAGGGTCGAAGCCTCGCTTCCCGAAGGACCCCCTCCCTTCGAATGCGAAGTCGGATGTGCGCAGCTGGTCTCCGCGCCCCCCCCCAGGCGCCAGAGGCAGCAGCGCACCGATGGATCTGCCCGGCGGCGGGGCCCAAGTAGGCTGCACGCGGCAGCCTCTGCAGCAGCCTCCCCATCGGCAGCCTCTCTCCTTCGTCCGCCCCTACCCCTTCCGCCGAAACGCGGCCTGAACCTGCTCGTCGTTTTCGTCCTCCTCCCCTTCCTCGTCGTCCAGTGTCTGCAGCTTCGTCGTGCGGGGTCCCCCGCTCGTCTGTGTCGATGATCCTTTCGATGGGTTCTGATGGTGTTCTGAGATTTCGGCGGTGCTCGACTGTCTTCGAAGAAGTTCGAAGGCTCTCGTCGTTATCGTCGTCGTCATCCTTCTCTGCCTCGTCCTCGTCGTCGTCGTTGCCAAGTGCGACCCTGTACCATGGAGGATCGAGGAGCGACGTCGTGACGCTCTTGGGGGTGCATGAGACCGCTCTTGCTCGTTCCTGGGCCTTGTGATTTCCCCTACTCCCCGCCTTTCTTCGTCCAGAATTACCCTTTCATGGGCACTTCGTTGAGGAATTCCCCGTGGAGTCCAAGCAGATCGGGTCGGAGGATTGCGCCGCATCGCTGACACATGAAAGATACATCGGGGATGCATCGGCGACGTCGGCGAAACGTCGGCGCCACCGGCGTGGAGAAAACCGGACTCCACATCGAGCCGCACCGCCGATGCATGGGCGATGCGTCGCGATCTGCCGACACCACGCATTGGACTCTGTTTGGGATGCCTCGGCGTTTCTTTCAATGCTACCCCCCCCCTCTTGCCTATCAAGGGCCCCCAAATTCGTGCTTCGCGCTGCGTGAATCACTTCGCGCTCTCGCGCCGTCCCCTGGGGGGCCCAGAGGAGGACGAGTAGGGGTCGGAGCCGAAGCGCGAAGCGCGAACAACTTGGTGCCCTCGAGGGCGCCCTTGCCTGGGGACACTTCCCCCCCACAAAGACGCCCGACGTCGCCTCGCGCGCAGGCCCGAGATGCCACTTCTGGCAGCCTCCGCCCACCTCCGCAGGCGGAGTGTCGCCCGGCGGCCCCGAGGATCGAGAGCGCTCTGGGAGGAGGAGGAGGAAGAGGAGGAGGAGAAGGAGGAGGAGGAGGAGGAGGTAGAGGCGGAGGAGGAGGTAGAGGAGGAGGAGGAGGGGGGGGAGGAGGAGGAGGAGGAGGAGGAGGAGAGGAGGAGGAGAGGAGGAAGAGGACGAGGAGGAGCAGGAGGAGGAGGGAGGTGGAGGAGGAGGAGGAGGAGGAGGAGAGGAGGAGGAGGAGAAGGAGGAGGTGAGGAGTAAGAGGAGGAGGAGGAGGAGGAGGAGGAGGAGGAGGAGGAGGATGAGGAGGAGGAGCACCGCCTTGCGCAAGACCGCGGGCTCGCACACGTGGCCCGCTGGACCGCGTTCTGGCCGCGGCCGCTGCAACATGACAGACTGCGCCCTGCTTCTGCAGCGGAGCTTCGCTGACCCGTGGACGAGGATCGGGATCTCCGGGCGGGAGAGGAAGAATGGGGGCGAGCATGAGGAGGAGATCCTCCTCTACCCTTCGTCCTCCTCCTCCTCCTCCTCCTCCTCCTGTCTCCTGTGTCTCCTCCCCTCCCTGGGGAAGCATGGGACGGGGAGAGGGAAAAAAGGGGGAAGGGGAATGAGACGCGTGCGGGTGGAGCATGAAGGAGCAGAGGTGAAGAAATGGGAGGAGAGGAAGGTCGAACGGGATGAGAAAATCAATGTGGCTTACGCGTCCCAACGGACCTATAGCGAGGATCAGAGCCGGGCGTGCGGCAATTTCACGTCACAGTGACGTGGGATTTGGTTTCTGACACCGCGTGATTCACCCTTCCGATAGCGCAGATCGCTCGATACCAGCTAATTCTACGGAACTGGCGGCGTTCAACCTAGCACCCGCGCTGGGGTCGTCGCAGCGACAACGCGGCGTGAAACCATATAATTATCGAAACGTCGCTGCTGATGGCGCTCGCCAGCTGTAGCTGTCCTATGCTTTTGCTGTCAGCACTTGACAGAGCAGTGTAGCAGGGTCGTCACGTGCCTGAGCACGACAGAACATGCCACAGGGGCACGTGTGCCAGCCCATGAGCAACATGGGAACTGCATCGCGCACCCGGGATTGGGCCGCACACGACCCTGCTCTGCGTGGCCGTCGGCGGCTGCTGCTGCTGCTGGTGCTCCTCCTCCTCCTCCTCCTCCTCCTCCTCCTCCTCCTCCGCCTCCCTCAATCATCCTCCCTGCCTGCTTCCTCCTGCCCCCTCCCGTCCCCGCCCCACTCCTCTTGCCGTCCAGGGGGACCGGAAGAAGCGGCGAACGCCTTGGCATAATCAAGGTCGGTGCAGAATTGCTCGAACTCGGTCACAGTTGCCTGCGCTTGGCCCCGGCCGTTCCTTCAGCCTCTGTTGTCTCTCCCTCGTCACCCGCTCACGCTCACACGCTCTGCCTCCACCCGTTGAGCCGACACCAGACTTTAGGAGCGGCCTGGCCCGAAATACATGTGGCCCTCCTAAGCTGCCCCCTCCGCACTTCTTCGGGCGATAACAGAGGCCCCCCAAAAGACCCCAAGGGCCCGATGAGCACGAAAAAACTGCAACAGTCGCGTCTGTCAGGCCCTTCGAGGGGCAACGTTGGTGGGGGACCGGCGCAGGAGAGAAGCACTGACCTGGAATCGACGGTACATCGCCGATACATCGGCGATGGGCCCCCCGTAGCGAATCCGCACACTCCTGGGCTGAGTGGACTATCGGGCCCCTAGCGGGAACGAATGGGCCATTGGGGGTCGATGCTCTCCCAACATGTGCCCAACCCCTGTAACTATGCCCCCTGACAGAATACTTTCAGCCATGCGATCGGGAACTTTTGCCTAGCGCGGCGCGGCGGCGACCCCTGCCACACGCACCCCTGGCGAGCGGATGGCGTGTCGCTCCTCTCCGCAGAGCGGGAGGCTTGGACAGGCTCGGGGCACCGGCGCTCGGGGACCGGGACGTGGACAGCGTGCCGCGCCGAAGCGTGATGGGCCAGAACCGGCACAGCGACGTGCTGTCCAAAAGTGCCCGACCGAAGCGATGCCCCTGTCAGAGGACGCTTGACCTCGAACGCCCCCGCTGGCGTCGCCGCCTCGCCGAGGCGGCGCGCGCATGGCACGAGCCACCCGGGGCACCTCGCGCGCGCGCGAGCCCGCACGGTGTGTGGAGAGGCGCGGCGCAGGCCCGCCCTGGGACGCGCGCGCGGCACCGAGCCGGGGAAGTCCTCCCGCGCACACGGGAGGAGGCGGGATCGAGCGGGGGCAACCATCGAGGGATTCGAGGATCAAGGGTTCGAGGGTCGAGGCGTTCACACGTTGGGGCTCCTCAGGCGCCTGGGGCTACCTGGGCCTCCCGAGGCGCCCAAGCGATCACGGCTGAACAGAACGCGGGGCCTCCCCTTGGGTCGAAGGTCGAGCCCTGAGGCGCCCTAGTGGTCACGATTGGACCGCAGGAAATGAGCCCCGCAGTCAGACCTCCTCGCGTCGCCAAACCAAACGCGACGGGAGGCTTTTGTGTGACGTTCTGCCTCTGGGGGCCCCTTTACTGGGCCCCAGGACAGTCGCAGGCGACTCGGGCTGAAACGCCCGTCCTCGAGGCAGGGGTCGAGACCTCAACAAGTCCACGACAGCGGAGATCTGAGAAGGTTGGCTGCACGCAAAAGGGGGTAGGGGGAGGGGAGAAGGCTTCGTAGAAGGATGCTGGTTCCCAGAAGGCGCCGGCCCTGCATCTACAGGTAAGGCCGCCGAGCCCTCTGAGAACCTGGGGTGCTTTAAAGAGGCTTCCCCCCTCCCCCAGCCCCATCTGCGCGTGGCCGAGAAGGAGGGACGAGGAGGATGAGGAAGGATTGGATGCGCGCACAAAACGAGCCCATTATCTATCATTCGCGACAACGCCGTGGCCGCTGCGCCGACCCCCTCCCCCCCCTTGGTCACGACGTCACGATTCGCGCCTGCGCCGTGTGGGAATCAGCATGTCCTGAGCATTCCCAGACGGCGCCGGCGCGACTCGTGACGTGATCGGCCCACAAGCCGCGGCCGCTCCACCGCACTTGGTACTCAAGGGGGAGCGTGCCCGCACTACGGGCCTCTCTGGCGGAGGTCCACTCTCCACGCGCAGGCGATGGGTGCTCACGCCCCTCGAGCAGGCGGCGGCGGCGATCCGCTCGCGGGCTGGTCACTCCCGTCATCGCCAGGGGACAAAAAACGGTCCCATAAAAAACACAGTCCCAGAGGGGTGGCGCGAAGGGGGTGGCCTTCTAAGGGGGGGGGCGGCCTCCTGGTCTCGCGCCACTTCCGTAGGGGCGCAGGCGGAGGAGGTCCCATCTGCGGGCAAGATTGATACAAACCGCTCACTGCTTCTTGGAATTTCTGGGAGGGCGTCAAAAAGGCCGAGTCGCAGTGGATACGGATAACCATCTAGACTCCAGGGGCCACATTGTATCCCCATCCACTGCGCCGCCGGTTTCTGGGGAAGGGACCCCGAAACTCCAAGACACAGTGAACATGGATACACATATTGCCCGCAGAGGGCGACCCCAACTCTGCGATTGCTTGGAGCTTTCCTTGCCTCTCGGCATGCCCGAACTGGGGACAGAAAGCATGGAGACGATACCCCTCATCCAGAGAAGCGACAAACGGCAGAAACATACTTTCTCGGAGGTCCGCACGGAATTATTATGATTTCTTGGATCGGCGCCGGAGTCGCCGCCACGGGGGCCCGACACAGATCCCTTCGACTTCCGAGAGACTAAGTTCATGCGGTGCTTTCTTCCTCGATCAGCTGATGTTGCCCGAAACCGGCTACGGCCGCTGTTGGGCTCGCGACGCCTGCCCCAAATGGACGCCGCGCGCGGCGACACTGGCAGCGAACCTTGTTCAAAAGTGGCAGGGGCTGCTATCTTACTATTGCGCACCCGTGCTGGTCTGAGTATCGTTTAACCGATCCCCATCACCAGCGGCGTGGCCTGGGCCCCACTGGCCGATTTACCCCCCTAGATGGGGATATAGGTCGTTCCCTTCGGGTTTCGAGGGGTGTCTCCCCAACTGGGGTGGCAATTTAGCGGGGGTCTCGAAGGGGGTGGGGATGGGGATGGGGATTTTGGTTCAACGATACCGATGGTCTCCATTGGATGCGAGAGCCAATGGGCGCCTAAGGCAAACGTCACGCTGGGACCCGCAGCCTCTCACATTCCCGAGGCACTCCCCCGAAGAAGACGCGCGAGCTCGACCGTGCCGAGCCTCGGCGTTGCCCCTCAGTCCACCAGCAAGGCTGCCCCGCCGAAGGTCCTCCTCCTCCTCCTCCTCCTCCTCCTCCTCCTCATTCTCCTCCTCCTCCTCCTCCTCCTCCTCCTCCTCCTCCTGCTAGTAGGAGGTAGGCCGCGCGGTTGCCTTCTTGCGGAGGTAGGCCACCAGCGGCCGCAGGAGGCCCTCCAGCTCCACATCCAGGCCGTCCAGCGTCGCCGTCTCCTCGGCGCGCGAGGAGCGAGCAATGGGTGTCCTCGTCGATCGATATCGACGCCTCCTCGCTTCGCCATCTCATCGACCGTCTCCTCGCACCGGAGTGGGCGGCCTCCGTCCAGCGTCGGCGTCGCCTCGTCGCCGTCGCCTCGCCCAGCGTCGCCGCCTCCGCAAAGCCGAAGGGAGAGCCCCAACCAGACCATGGAGGAGGCGACCTGGGGCACGCCAGAGAGGGTCCTCGCCTTCGGCGTGTCTCGCCTTCCACCTAGGCTTAGGTCGGGCATGTCCTCCTACAGGGGGATTTGGGGCAAAAAACCAGAATACCCCAAACATGCGCAAACATACTCGAAAATTGTAAAAAATCGTCCCTAGACTATTCCTTGACAATTTTGGAATGTTCCTCATGTAGAGGGACACGCCCGACGTAAGCCTACGCGGCGGCGGGTCCAGCGCCGATGGCTGGCGGAAGTCCGGCGGAAGCCAAAGTGAGAGGACAACATAATGCCTCGATCCGGGCTTCGCGGAGCAGACCATCTGCAACTGGTCGGGGCGCCTCCTCGAGGAGCGCATCCGTGCCAGGCCCTGGTGTTTCACGCAGTATGCCAATGCGCCGTCTAGGCGCGGCTTCTTTCGTTCGTTCGTTCGTGGCCCTCTGTCTCAAGAAATCGGGACAGGCTGGCGGGATCAGGAGGAGGGCCACGCGAGGATGGAATCGGATGAGGTTCGAAGGCAAACATCAGATCATAAGCGCCAACATATTCACTTTCCGGCTGTTCGCGCGCATCTCTCTGGTCCGCGCTGAGAGCCCCCTCCCCGCCCCCTTCCCCATGGCGCGCGGAGCGCCGGGGGAGAATCGCTTCCTGCCCAGAGACCCGTATGGACCTCCGAAAATCTTGGGAGTCGAACGTTTATGCAGGTCCACCTCTTTAGCTGCCCCGATACGCAGGACGCAACACGTAGCGTACTGACACGGAACTCAAAACGTAGACTGAACACGTACGTTTTTGACACGGACGTTTTGAACACGGCACGTGTTACGTTTCAAAGCGTGCGTATCAGAGCAGCTACGGTCAACCTCCTTCCTCTTCCCTGCCCCCCTGCTCGTCCGATTGATGTCCTTCTCTTGCGGGACCGGGGAGGGAAGGAACGCGGTGGACCAGCAGAGTAGATCTCCTTCGGGATGCGTTCCCCAATCAGTGTGTGTGTGTGTGTGCGTGTGCACTTCGAGGGCCTGACTTCTCCCAACGCAGCACCACTAGTGGCACAACTACGCAGCACCACTAGTGGCACAACTACATCGCGAATCAAAAGGTGGCCAAGCAAACTGGGAACGCCGCGGAAGCCAACCTGCCCTAGGCGAACTCATGCTATGGCTATGGACCGTAGCCTTGACAACACAACGACAATGCAGTTGCGACAGGAGGGAGGAGGGAGGAGGACGAAGAAAGAGGAGAGGGAGGAGAAGGGAGAACAGACAATCGAGGTTTGTGTCTTGGGTTGGCCGTTTCTGGCTGATGTCCGTTACCGCTCGGTGCTCTGGGGCTGGTGCCCTGTGCTTGCTCTGCCTGTCGCAGCCAGCCGCTGCTGGTGGCCTTACGCGACTTGTGGCCCCGTTCCCAGTCGGTGGTTGGTGCCCCAGGGTGCCCTATTGGTGGTGCCCTATGGTTGGTTCCATGCAGCCCTCAGCGAAATAATTGTTATCCAGCCCTGTCAGCGATGCGCGCAATGCGGCCCGCGGGGTCCGAACAAAAAATGCGGCAGTCGCCAAATCCGGTGCGAACAATGACATTGGGGATCCGTGGGCGTCGCCACGTTGCGTAAAAAAAGCGTTTGATTCCGCAGGGGGGGATGTACCGTACCGTCGGTTCCAGGACGGCTGGTGTCCGATAGTGGGTGCCCCAAAGAGATGGCCCTAGTAAGAGCGTCGTTTCGCTTACGGCGGCCTTCGTGCTGCCAAGACCGTCCAGGCGGGGGGGCCCAGGGCTTCTTGGAAGCCTCTTGATGGCCACCGGGGGCGTCCTCGGAGCCTCTCAGGCCAGAGACCTCGACATGTCGCGCTCTTCGGGCCCTCTTGGGTCGCTCTTGGGGCTCTCTTGGGGCGCTCTCGAGGCCCTCTTGACTTCTCTGGGGAGCCTCCTGGGCCGTCTCTGGGCTTTCTTGGGAGCCTCTTCGGCCGTCTTGGAGCGATCTGAAGGGCCTCTGACGCGGTCCGGGACCGTGGGGAGGCGGAACATGGGAGAGCGCAAGAATGCTTCAAAAACCATTTGATTACCTAACAGCGAAGACTGATAGGTTTCTAGTGGGATCAAAAGAGAGCAGCAGATCACTCCACAGGGGGGTCCGGGCAGGTGTTGGGAGTTGCCGGGCGGCAGGTGCCGGGCTCGTTTTTCACCAACAGTCACACACTTCGTGCTCTTCGACTTCCCAGAACTCCATTCCCAGGCCACATTCTCAATACCCGGATGCAACAGTCACACACTTCGTGCTCTTCGAGATCCCAGAACGCCATTCCCGGGCCACATTTGGAGGGCCGGATGCAACAGTCACACACTTCGTGCTCTTCGAGTTCCCAGAACTCCATTCCCGGGCCACATTTGGAGGGCCGGATGCAACAGTCACACACTTCGTGCTCTTCGAGTTCCCAGAATTCCATTCCCGGGCCACATTTTGGATGCCCGGAGCCAACTGTAGGCCACTTCGTGCTCTTCGAGTTCCCAGAACTCCATTCCCGGGCCACATTTTGAATGCCCGGAGCCAACTGTAGGCCACTTCGTGCTCTTCGAGTTCCCAGAACTCCATTCCCGGGCCACATTTTGAATGCCCGTAGCCAACTGTAGGCAACTTCGTGCTCTTCGACTTCCCAGAACTCCCATTCCTGGGCCACATTTTCAGCAGGGGCAAGAGCACGACGAGGAGGAGGACGAGCAAGACCAGGAGGACGAGGACGAGCAGGAGCAGGACGAGGAGCAGGAGGAGCAGGAGAAGAAGGACGAGCAGGAGGAGGAGGAGGACGAGCAGGAGGAGGAGGACGACCAGGAGGAGGAGGACGACCAGGAAGAGGAGGAGGAGGAGGAGGAGGGGAGGGGGAGGAGTACCAGGAGGAGGAGGAGGAGGAGGAGGAGGAGGAGGAAGAGGAGGAGGAGGAGGAGGAGGACGAGGACGAGGAGGAGGAGGAGGAGGGGGGGGGAGAGTACCAGGAGGAGGAGAACGAGGAGGAGGAGGAGGAGGAGGAGGAGGAGGAGGAGGAGGAGAGAACACCAGGAGGAGGAGGACGAGCAAGACGAGGAGGACGAGAACGAGGACGACCAGGAAGGAGGAGGAGGAGGAGGAGGAGGGGAGGGGGAGGACTACCAGGAGGAGGAGGAGGAGGAGGAGGAGGAAGAGGAGGAGGAGGACGAGGAGGAGGAGGAGGAGGAGGACGAGGAGGAGGAGGGGGGGGGAGAGCACCAGGAGGAGGAGAACGAGGACCACCAGGAGGAGGAGGAGGAGGAGGAGGAGGAGGAGGAGGAGGAGGAGAGAGCACCAGGAGGAGGAGGACGAGCAAGACGAGGAGGACGAGAACGAGGACGAGCAGGAGGAAGAGGAGGAGGAGGAGGAGGAGGAGGAGCAGGAGAAAGAGGAGGAGGAGGAGGAGGAGGCAGGCTGAGGCTGAGGCTGTGACTGCGACTGCCGTTGCCGCTGCGACTGTCATCGCGAATGCGACTACGACTGCGAGAACAGCAGAATTCGACAACTGGATTTTCATCTGAATCTTAAGGGGAATGCTTTCAGATATGCTTCTACACATCGCTGTTAGGTTGCTTTGCCGGGATATTTTTTTTTTTTTTTGATTTTCGGCTTCTGGGGCCCTTTGGAGGGGCCTATGGAGGCGCTCTTGGGGCGTTTTGGCGGCGGCGTCGGCCGTCCTGAGGCCATCTTCAGCGTGTCCGGGGCCTCTGGGGGCTGTCTTTGGGCGTCCTGGGAACCCATGAATCATGTTGCCGGAGAGGCTTCCGGGAACATAATTTCGAGCGAGGCTCTCTTGGGCCTCCCTGAGGCCGTCTTGGGGGCCTCCTGGGCCGGCTTCGAGGCCTCTTGGGCCGTCTTGGGAGGTTCTGTCAGCCCCACAGGACGACCCTTTTGGGCCGTCTTGGGCCCTCTTGGGTCTCTCTTGGGCTGTCTTGGGGCTCCTCGGGGGCGTCTGGGGCACTGCGAAGACGAAGCAAGTGAGCATGATGAAAATGCACGTTTTACTCAGGGAATGGCCAGATTTTTGCCTCTTGAAGACCCTCTTGGGGCCCCTTGGCCATCTGCAAGCCATCTCGGGCCCTCTGGGGCCTCGCTGAGGCTGTCTTGGGGCCCTCTTGGGGGCCCTGGGAACCCGGAAATCATGTTCCCAGAGAGGCTTCCGGGAACATGATTTCAAACGAGGCTCTCTTGGGCCTCCCTGAGGCCGTCTTGGGGGCCTCCTGGGCCGGCTTCGGGGCCTCTTGTGCCGTCTTGGGGGTTCCGTGAGCCCCCTTTTGGGCCGTCTTGGGCCCTCTTGGGTCTCTCTTGGGCTGTCTTGGGGCTCCTCGGGGGCGTCTGGGGCACTGTGAAGACGAAGCAAGGAGTATGATGAAAACGCACGTTTTACAAAGGGAATGGGCAGATTGTTGCCTCTTGAAGGCCCTCTTGGGGCCCTCGGCCATCTTCAAGCCATCTCGGGCCCTCTTGGGCCTCGCTAAGGCTGTCATGTGGGCCTCATGGGCGTCCTCGGAACCAGGAAATCATGTTCCCGGAGAGGCTTCTGGGAACATGATTTCGAAAGAGGCTCTCTTGGGCCTCCCTGAGGCCGTCTTGGGGGCCTCCTGGGCCGGCTTCGAGGCCTCTTGGGCCGTCTTGGGGGGGTTCCGTGAGCCCCACAGGACGACCCTTTTGGGCCGTCTTGGGCCCTCTTGGGTCTCTCTTGGGCCGTCTTGGGGCTCCTCGGGGGCGTCTGGGGCACTGTGAAGACGACGCAAGTGAGTATGCTGAATATGTACGTTTTA